TATTTTAATTGTGATATTGTATTGTAAATTCTTCTCTATATATTAAATAGTTTCAGATAAATTTTATTTCCATGAATCAATCGTTATTTTTTAAGTATCGTACAATCAGTATCTTGAGTTAGGCACTGCTCACACGTTTCCATATTTGTATCTTTATGCTGATAACAATACATTCAATCCATTTTGTATATGAATCACAGAATAAGTGCAGAGGTTTCGCGGAACGGGGAGCTAGAGATATCTGGGGGTGCATTAATGACACTACATATCTCACGACGGAGTTAAAAGAAAAATCTCTGAACGGGGCGTTTAGCGAACAAAATCACTCCTAACATAGTTGATACTACGTCTATTTTGCTCGTATTGTCAGTGCTAACGAGAAAACATTTATCTTATTAAGATCTAATAGTTCTTTGCTGTTTTTGCTGTCACAATTCCTTATTTATTTATGAACTCTGTTTGGCGTCTGATAGTTTAATTTATACTATAAAGTTTGTTCAGAATTAATTCAGAAGCTAGAATATAAAACTGTATTATTTGCATTGTGTAACGATTATTGGTCGCTTTAAATGCTGTTTAAATTTATTGAAGGGTGGCGTTTAGTTATAGATTGAGATATAAAGATAACTGACATAATAGTATAATGCGTTCTCACTTTGCGCTTAAATTATCTTAGTTTGTTTTCTTCATAAAGAACCGTTCTTATTAAAGCAAACGGCGGTTGCGTAAGCCGTAAAAGAAGATTGATTATGCACGTAAATTTTATGTAACTTCAACAAAGTAGGTTTTATATAACTCCTGAAGAGCTGAAACGGCTCGCGTTATTATACATTTCCGTGTATAAATAATTTAATAAAATATGAAAGGGGTTGTTGAGGCAAACTGACGACGAAACTGAAAAAAATGTTCCGCATATGCATGCTCGACACCGGCGTGCGGGTGCCGAAGCTTGCACCACGTGCCGCGTAATCGAATCAGCCGCCCGCATGTGAACCAGTCGAGTTTTTCGTCGGGCAGAGTTGGATCGAAGAATCTGAAATTGCATCTAGATTAATATCGAATCCCGCGAACATGGAGGTTTGCTCGTCACCACATAACAGTAACATATAAATTGCGATGACCCCGCCAAACTGAAATAACTCGCAGACAAAGGAACTTCGAATCGATTCGTGATTGCATCAAGATAGTTGAAATCCATAAAGATACATCGTCGTACGCACTTGCCAGTGATATATTTGTTTGAACGGTGCAATAATTTGTTGCCTGGAATGGTTATTCGTCGCGATCAAAGCGTTTTTAATCTAGAAAGGCCACTTAAAATTTACTATTTGAAATTTATTTCTTTATATAAACTAATAACTGTAACCTAGAAGTATAATTGAAAATGTATGTACTAGTGTCTTCGTTACTTCCGAGCTAGTGGATGATATTCTTGTGCATTGCGTTTTGTAAAACGCATCAAAGGACATTGAGGTTTAAATATTTTTTTCAGTCTTTGGTTTTATTCAATCTTATTTAATTTACATTTCTCCTTACCTTAGCTCTTCCTTTAAAAGTACTTTAACTCTTACAGGCAATGTACCACACTTTTCATCCATGATACGACACAGTGGTACATGTATTGTGTACCATAAATTAAACATATTTCTTATGCTTGTTAAGTGCTAAAAAATGTGCACGTTGGAGATGGCTTCAAATATTTTTTGTACTTTTATAATACATATTCTTAAAATTAATACTAAAATATTTAGTTGAATCTTTTATTGCGCGTGCAGCTTGGGTCAAAAAGAATCTTAATTTTCTGTGCGGAAATGCATATAACAAAAGTTATTTGCATTTACGAAAGTCTTTAATATTTTTCAAATAATATTAATATATATATATATATATATATATATATAATATATATAAGATACCGGATTTTCCATGATGTAGGCTTAGCTTTACAACTCCCGTGGACGGGGTCGAACGGTTCCGCTATGGACAACCTGATATCATGCAATAACAGTATCTATTTTTACTTGAAAATATAGATCAAAAATATGTTTCCAATTGAAAATAGCTTTTTTGGGCACTGCATTGTGTTAATGTTGGAGTTAACTTAACTCACAGACCTGCCCTAGGGCAGTACTACCCATTATCTAAGATATCGTATTTGGATAAATGTATTTATTTGTTATTTTGCAATAAAGTGGTCCATTACTAAAAGTTGAACATTTTGAGGGTTTTTCATACTATCTCACGTATAGTCACTCAAATAATATCTTAAATAATAAGATCTTAAATAGAAGCCTATAAAGTCCATGAGGGGCATTAGTTGATCAAATGGTATTTTTGCACATATGCAGCGCAAATAACAATTATATTTCGTAAGAGAAATATTTCTTATCACCCGTTTATTAGATATATCGCCGAGGTTGCGTAATAGTATAGTGTTAATTCAATAGGAAATCCCCCAACTTTTCATTGGTTATTGCGGACCTCGTACCCCTGTTATTATCCTGATGAGATTGAGTTAATGTTTTGACTGAATATCTGATTTATAGATAAACGCTCAACTGCTAACGAAAACTAAATTTTCCCTCTTATATTTTCAATAAGTTTTTTCAGTATATAATACATATATGCAAATATAAAAAAATAATTCAGTTTAAAGATCGGGTGTTACATCAATAAAAAAAATTATGTTTTGAAATTTATTTGAAATTCATACGTTTCGGCTAACATCTTAGCCTTCATGCAGTAAAATATAAATCTTTATATTAGAATTAATTATCTAATATAATCTAATTAATTTAATTAATAATAATAATTAAAAATTATCTAATTAATTTAATATGAGGACGCCAAATTTTATATTCCACTGAATGAAGGCATACTAGCCTTAGCCAAAACTTATGTATTTCAAAAAGAATTCTGAAACATTTATACAATTTTTTATTGATGTGTAACGTCCGATTTTTAAATTAAATTAATATACAATATATTAATATAAAAGTGATGATTATATATATATATATATATATATATATATATATATGTTGTTTTATAACTAAAAATAATTGTTGATATTTATAATATCGACACAATAATATACCTAATTGCTCAGTTGAATATATTTTTCATTAAATGGTTTTATCAAAATATTGATCTACTTCTTTGACGTAGCCAAAATTCTTCTTATGTTTATTGTCTTCAGCCCCTCTTATATTGAAGCCCCAAAATCTCTTCGATTGACATTCGGAAGAACTTCCGCGTCGAATAAGTTATGCTTACTGTGGAAACAAATGGCTTACCCCATTCCATTTCATTTAGCGACGTGTCGCCTCTGTCGAATGTAACATATAGTATCAATTAACCTTATATAGTATATTAGCTTCATTAAGCTTTCTAGAGCCCTACATCGTTAATAGAGAGATTGTCAAAGCAAAGAAGTCTTGTTAAGCGCATCCTCATATGTGATTTATTAATGGTTTTAATTGTTTATTTGTAATCGATATTGTTCCAAGCTATGTTGCATTTTTTTTCATTTAATAAGATATGTGAAGAACTAATTTGTGAACAGGTTGAAAGCTCAACATTTATTTTACAACTTTTTTTTAATTTAGTGTTGGCAAAAATAAGCAAAATATATTACTGGTTTCCGTTCTAAGTCTGTACTGTTATAGAGTCCAGGCGACCCCGAGCCGTACAAAGTATTGACGTCCGTTGACTCGAGATGAATACCACATCTCTGAATCTTAGGGAGCGCGTTGGCAACCCTGTCCCGTCGTTCGCGTAGGGGAGCTTACGAGAGTTGGGGGTGCTTTCTCACAGGGCATGCGCGGCACAGGGTTGCGTCAACCCGCACACAGTTCGCCCTGTAGAGTCGCGCAAGCGCCCGTCGTCTCCCGATCGTAGGAGTTCAGAGCAACGTGTAAAAAGCTTCATTCTAGGCCTAACAGCCGAACTGAATAGTCGTTCACTTGATCACTACTGATCATCGCGTTTTACCAGATGCCTCTGTCTGCTGGCATCTCTTGAGTGTCATAAGAGTTCGTCTTAGTTCGATCTGTAATACGCAAACAGTGTGTTATAGTTTGTGAACAAAATTGTAATTTCAAGGAATCACGTACAGGAACACGGTATCGCATCCCCAATGGCAGTCGCAAATTTCAAACCGCGAGAGCTCTATGGATAGAGTGACTGTAGTTGACGTTGACGTTCCATGTGAGTATTGATTATTTTACTGTTGGCTGCCCCCCAAAATGTTTAACTGTCAACTTAATCAGGGGGTATCTCAGTATGGCTTGCTCGCTTATATAACACTCTGGTATACGTAGTGTTGGTTTGATTTAGTTTGGTTAGGTGTGTGGTACAACTGATAAGCGAACGAGATAGTTTTACGTAATGTATGCAGTACTATAGATCCGATCCCAAAAAGCCATAGCTTGTTTTATCACAAAGGTGCGGGCTTGAGTGGGCGATTACTGTTCTCCCTTTGACGCCACCTCATTATTTTCGCCTTTTGTGTGTTTTCAACGCTTTCCATATGCTCCCTGATATGTGTGAATTTGCCATATGTTTGTAAATACATCCCATATAATGTTTGCGCTATAAATATATTTATCACGAATGTTTTGATTACTCTGTACGATTTGAATTAAATAATTTACATGTGTATGTTTGCGTATACATTTAGTTATTATTTTTTAAACATGTACCTCTTTAGCGCCGTGTATTGAAATATTTTATTTGTTATACACAGTTTTATACATAACATTATATATATATATATATATATATATATATATATATCATGTATGCAAATTCAAATTTTCCAATGTTTAATTATTGTTTTTTAAATATTTATGAATATCAATTTATTTATTAAGTGTTGATAATATTATGTTTTGTTTATAATATATTATTATACTAATAGCATTTTTGAGAAAATATTTAATTGTAATTTTTGCTATTAAATTTGTAGGAAAACTAATGATTTTTTTAAATTATCGCAGGACCACCGATTCATCATGGCGACTCTATCTTTACGCATAAGCCTTGAGGGAGGCCGAGTCACCAAAACAATGCAATTTGACCCCTCTACAACAGTTTTCGATTGCTGTCGCATCATAAGAGAAAAAATCACTGAAGCCAATGCCGCTGGTCAAAGTGAGTACCTGTTGAAAACAATTAATTAGCGTATTCTCTGCTCCGTGAAATTTTGAAGTGACCGTGACTTAACGAAATATGCTTTATTCGGTATCTATTTTTGTCGAGCAAAAAAATTTTATTTATAATTTATTTAATTGAATAAATTATTTTTAATTTTTAAAAATTTTATTAACATAAAGTTTACTTATTTTTTATTATTAATGATTATTTAATATAATAAAAAAATTATTTAAAAATAAAATATAAAAAATACAATATAAAAAATTTGATAAATGATAAAATTTAATATAAAAATAAAATTTAGAAATTTTGCCTTCTATTTCGTTTATATAATTAACTCGATGTGTATCAATTGAATCAAATCTTTTTAAGCTCTTATTTTTCTTTTTTATTAATGTCCACAATTTCCATGCCGCGATTGCGAATTTTGCTATTCGTGCCATTTTTGTCATAAATTATATTTGATATATAAACTACATACATTATTTTTGCAAAGGATTGTTTGAACTAATTTAAAAACCATTTTATATTAATATTAGAGGTCCAAGTAAATAAATAACGAATTAGAATCTGTTTATAAAATATTTTGCACACACGATTATATTATTTTATGCCCATATTTATAATAATATTTTATTTTACTTTTTGAACTATGTATAATTAATATGTACAGTTCTACATACATTATGAATATGTGAAAACCGGAATATCTAAATGAAAATTTTTAATATTTATTTTGTACTTACTTAGTCGATGTCTTACGTCTTCGGTGTATTGAACTTTTGTATTTATATTTTACTTTTTACATTGTGCTTAGGCCGCGTGCGCACAATCGAAATTTTACACATAGAAATCTTATTCTGGTACGCAATGTTGGTACGACGATATACAAAATGAAATCTTTAACAGTTTAAGATAATTAATCGCTTTTCTCAAATGATGATAATCAAATCCCTTTTCATTTTTATTTTATTTAAAATATATGATGCCTTTATATTCCAGTACAAATTATAAAAAATAATAATTATTTGTTTTTTATGTTTCCATTTTAATCAAGAAAACCATAGTGTACTTTATTATTGACAAATTGTTTGAAAATAATTTTAAAATGTTTCTTAAATGATTCTCATTAAAAGTATTTTGTGATATCCTAATTGAAATTTTTACTCACATAAGTGTGAATATCATAACTATATTTCAAACAGAAATTTGTTATAAATTAATTATATAAAAGTTTGTCTTTCTATTGAATAAGCAAATAAGAATACGAATAAGAACATTGATTAGAAGCGAATCTCACTTGCGCAAAATAGATAAAAAAATAAATAAAGTCAGTCTCTTCTTCAATGACTCAGATTGTTCGATTATAATTTAACCTTTGTAACTGTGAGCTGTATAAAACACCGATTTGTTGGTAAAATTTATGTATTTGTTGCGAAGTTCTTACAACAATATTGATGTGTCACTAAATTTAATTTAATGAAGATTTTATATATTTATTACTTATTTATTCTTCATGTTACTACGCGGACTTTACTTTTGAAAGTGAAAAGTAAGTCCGATCCAACTCTCCGCTGCCACCATGGTAGCAACTTTTCGATACAAAAGCTCAATGCCATGAAGATCGCTGTTTTCATGGCCAAAGAAATAGTATGAAAATACATCTGAACAATAAATTTGCATTTTAGATTTTTTAATAATAAATTATAAATTTATGAAGGACTTATTCGGAATCTCTTACTAGTAGAAAATTCACTATGTCTTGCTGATCTATCATCAAATATTTTGTAATTATATTATATTAGTCGCAAATTCGTAATTGATATAATTGGGAAACATTTTTTGTACAAATTAATATAAAAAATTTTGTTATATTTTCTCCGCTACCACCGTGGTAGCAACTTTTCGATACAAAAGCTCAATGCCATTAAGATCGCTGTTTTCATTGCCAATGTTATAGTATGAAAATATATCTGAACAATTAATTTGCATTTTAAATTTTTTAATAATAAATTATAAATTCATGCAGGACTTCTTCGGAACCTGTAACTAGTAATTTACTATGTCTCGTTGATCTATCATCAAATATTTTGTAATTATGTCGCAGTAATAATTCAAGTTTGATATACTTGGAAAACATTGTTTACAAATTAGTATAAAAAATTTGTTAGATCCTAATTCAACAAAATTACTTACAACCGTGCGATAAAAATATGGCTGTAAATACCTTGTGAATTATATAAATGTAATTTTTTATTTAGTAAGCAAATAAGAATACTAATAATAAAGTAGGTAATAAAATTATTAAATTTAGAGTTAAAATAAAATAGGGATATAATAATAAACCATAATGCATTATTTCTGTTGAATCTTTTTCTGTTAGAAAATTTACTACAGTTTTCTTCATCTGGCATCGAATTATTTGTAATTATTTATTCTGTTACTTACAATAATAATTTAAGCTTCATATAATTTGGAAACGTTTTTCATAAAAATGGCTTGAATATAATATTATTATTCAGCGATTTACTGTTATATTATGAAAAGAAATCATAATGTCGTATCATATTTATGATTGACCTTCGTTGAAAACGTAACGATTTATCTGATACGTTAGTGAGTGTTTTCATCTGTCTCTATAAGATATAAATTTTAGAAAAATGTACTTATAACCTATTTATTTTATTCATTTTCCAGTGCAAGATTTCGGATTATTTTTATCAGACGACGATTCCCGACAAGGAGTCTGGCTCGAACCAGCAAGAAAACTTGATTACTATCTTCTCCGAAATGGTGATCTTCTCGAATACAGAAGAAAATTACGACACCTGCGAGTTAGGATGTTAGATGGATCAGTTAAAACATTACTTCTTGATGACAGCCAGCCCGTTGCCTGTTTGATGGTTGTCATCTGCACTAAAATTGGTAAGAATTTTATATACTTTATAGGTAATACAATTTTATATCTAAGTATTTTTGCATTGAGTTGCGACTTCCAATTGTGATATATTTTTCTGAATACTAAATTATTGCAATTCCAAATTTGTATGAAGTTAATTTTCATGTATACATTCGGTTTCTTGGAAATGTTCATAAGAAATGTTTTGTATTTATTAATTAGATTAAACATGATTATTTCTTTGAATCACTGACTATTTCTAGAAGTATTTAAATTTTTTCTTTGATACAAAATTGTAATTAAGTTTATACAAAACTAATTAGTTAATTAGACTCATTCGTTTACCAATACCTTTACATTGATATGAAACGATAAAATAAATAAATACCTACAATATTAAATCATGCATGTAAACGAAAATATAATTGTTTATTATTCCTTATCTTAATCACCGTATCTTGTTTATATCTCGCTATTTTCCAATGTTTTGAAAAAGCTAATCTGCAGAAATATTTAATACTGTGCTAATGATTGCAAATAATAACATAATAAAGTGAAGTATATTTGAAAACAATATGATTAATCAAACAAATATTGTAAGCTAATCAATATTTTTTTTATTAACAACTACTATATTGCAAACAAATTGCTGTAAATATTTTGCTTATCTGCAGGAATATTTACTGTGCTAATGATTGCAAATAATAAAGTAAATAAAATAATAAAATGAAGTATATTTGAAAACAATATAATTAATCAAACAAATATTGTAAGCTAATCAATATTTTTTATTAACAAATTGCGGTAAATATGAACGATCCTATGCTTATTAGTCATTTTATACTTGAATATAATTTAGTTAAGAATTAATTTACACATAACTATGTTATAATTGCTTTTGTTTTTATTTTCAATAGGTATAACAAATCACGACGAATATAGTTTAGTACGCGACGAACCCGAAAACCCAGTGGAACCATTACAAGAAAATCGATACGGAACATTAACATTGAGAAGAAAAAATCTCGAAAAAGAGCGGGACACAAAAATGGAAAATTTACGTAAAAAATTAAAAACCGACGACGAAGGTATTACTTTAAAAAAATATTTTATACTGAATTGAAGCATATATAATAATTTTGAAGATTTTAAAATTGGTTTTGTTTATTGCAGTTAATTGGGTAGATCCAGGTAAAACTTTAAGACAACAAGGCATCGACGAAAACGAAACTGTTTTATTACGACGTAAATATTTCTTCAGTGACCAAAATATTGATTCCCGAGACCCCGTTCAATTAAATTTACTCTATGTACAAGCCAGAGATGCCATACTTGATGGTAAACACCCAGTTACACAAGATAAAGGTTAGAACCAAGTCCTGTCGATATTTTTTGCAAATTTTAAATTTGTTTCGGATATAATATATTATATTTATTACTTTAGCATGCGAATTTGCTGGAATACAGTGCCATATCCAATTTGGAGCCTATAACGAACAAAAACACAAACCCGGATTTTTAGAGTGAGTTTAATGATTTTATTGATGTTGATTTTTAATAGTTACTCTATGTAGTGTAACAATTAATTTTTATTTTTGCAGTTTAAAAGAATTTTTGCCACAATCTTATGCCCGCGTTAAAGGAATCGAGAAAAAGTTTTCAACGAACATAAAAAACATTTCGACAAATCTGAGGTGGATGCGAAAGTACTTTACACACGAACGGCGCGAGCTTTGAAAACTTACGGAGTCACGTTCTTCTTAGTAAAGGTAATTTTTTAAATTTATTTATTAGTTAATTAATTTATTTTATTTATTGATCAGACCGTTCGCACCTATATTTTATTATAATTAGAAAATTCTTGTTTTTTTTTCAAAAGTTTTGATTGAAAATGTAGTACATAAACGTAATGTTAATAACCACCCATCAATTTTTATTTGTTTTTATATTTTCAGGAAAAAATGAAAGGTAAAAACAAATTAGTGCCTCGACTTCTTGGCGTGACCAAGGACTCCGTTCTGCGGCTGGACGAAAAAACGAAAGAAATATTGAAAACGTGGCCTTTAACGACGGTTAGGAGATGGTGTGCGTCGCCGAACACTTTTACACTTGACTTTGGCGACTACAGTGACCAGTATTATTCCGTTCAAACTACAGAAGCCGAGCAAATACAACAACTCATTGCTGGTTATATAGATATTATTTTGAAAAAGGTCAGTGGAAATGTTTAATTTCAATATTGATTGTTTTTTCGACGTTTAAACATATTTGAATTAATTAGCAGCCCATTTGTCGAATTCATTATTGATCATACCTTTCGACACAGTGATACCTCGAATAACTTACTTAATTCGTTTCGGGAGAAAATTAGTTATGCGAAACGCGTTAATACATGAAAATAAAATTAATTCCTTCTGCTGTTTGAAATATTTTTTTTTTTAATTAACTCTTTTATTTACAACTGTCCAGTAAAGGACATTCAGTAAATTTAATGAATTTACAATAGTCCACCGAAAAGGTACATATAAATACGACAGAAAATAAGATATATTTTTAATATAATTAAGACATATAAAAATATTACTATAGTATATTAAATTATAATTTACGAAATAAGTTATTATGAGAGTGGTACAACTTGCTTTTTTGCCCTTTTAGCTCCTGAATTTTTAAAGATGTCGATGTTGTTTCTTGTACTCTCTTCTTTAAGATCTCCCGCAGATGTTAGGCAATCTTATTATTGTACAAATTTCTGATCTTCTTAAAGTCTCTAGTTTGAAAAGTAAACATTTACGAATTATTGCACTTCTTTTCATTTGACCAGAAAGTCCATTATAGTAAGGTGATCATACGTCCCGATTTCCACCTTGTGTCCCGGGTTATTTTAAAAGCATGATTTGTACCAGATTTAGATCTTTTGTCCCGGATTGTCCCGGTTTCTGAAAATTAACAGATGAAATAATAAAAATTATGAAAACAAACGAACAAGTGCTAATTTTCAAAAAAATTTATGAATAAAATATTATACAAGACTCAAAGCGCGAAAAACATATAGATCCATATAAAATATAATATCATAGATGAAATATGACATAATCGAATAATAAAGTTCTTACTGAAAGTCCGCAATTATTATAAAAAAAAGATTTATATAAAAAACTGTTATTATTTACCCCCCGTCCTGGATTAGCATAACTGAAAATTGCCGTCCCGGTTTTGACTTAGAAAAAATATGGTCACCTTATAGACTTTATGCAATAGAAATCTGCAGACTGGTCTTTTCTTATTCGGTTTTTGATCATCCACTTCCAAAATTTTCTCAAGACCCTTGGAGTGTGAATGTGAATTATCCAATAACGAGATGATTTAAGTGTGAGATATTTTTCAACAAGTATATTTTCAAAGTGAGGGCAAAAATTTCCAAGGTCCACTTTTTTAATTAATTTGAGTAACATAATTTTGACTACAAATTGTTAGTTTTATTATCACAATTACAATTGTACAAATACTTAAAGTTTTAATAACTTTAATTTTATACCCGTTTCTTTCTTTCTGTTTTGTTTCTAATTTTTTTTCTCTTTCTCTCTTCCTCCCACTCCTTTCTCCAAATTTACTCGCGAAGGTTCTTCCTTTCGTCCTTGATATCGCGCCACTTCAGTTTCGGTTGTCATCGGACAAGCATCTTTTTGTCTGTCCTCTACATCATGTCTTCTATTTTAGTTTTTGATTTAAATTATTAGTTATGTTTTTTCTTATTAAATATATTTTTAACTACTATTAGTGTTTTAAGTTTTTGTTTTCGTCTTGGATTGGTATGTATATTTCTTCTCACTATATTTCATCATTATTATTTGAATATTTGCATTCATTGTAATAATGTATTTTAGATTTGCTAAATGGTGACACACATCAAGTGTCGAAACGTATAATCAATAAAATTGTTTTTATTGAATGTTTTTCTTTTAATATTTTTTAATTCGACGAATGGGCTGTCAATTTATTTCAAATATATATATATATATATATATATATATATAATTAGAATTTATTAAAAATATGTTATATTATTTATCGCGTTTACGCTAAATTGTTAACAAATCAGTATATGTTGTTTTGACGTTCATTTTTTCTTGTCCGTTTTGCTAACTATAATCATAAATGCACTATTATCCAAATTTATAATTCAAAAACATCGTACATAATATTTAAAAAAAAAATTTCATATTCCGATCATTCTTAATTAACCAATTAATTGTGGTGTCTTCATAAAAAAGCACAGTTTTGTAACCTCAAAATCGAGCCATGACGAGGATACTCGTCAATCATAGAATAGGGTGAGATTTAGGTGAAACAAAATGGATTTATTTTATTGGATTGAATTATATATTGCTAATTAGCCGTTTGATTACCATAAGCACGCATTACATATTTACCAAAAACGAGTTAAATATTATACATAAATAATAATAATTTCTATTCTTGGTGTGGAGTGATATTCAGCGAAACAGAGTATTATACACAATTGGAATTTACGAATTGATTCCTTGTAGTTTTATATTTTTGAGTTAACAGACATCTTAAAAACGTTATCATCGAATCTAAATACATTCTGATTCGAATTGGCAGAATTCTTCAACGGGACGCATGAGATCAATCTCCAACTGTTATATTTTTATTCATTTGTTTTATTCCGGCATATCCTTAAAAGATTCTAAACATCGTGAGATTTGTGAATATATTTTATTTTTCTCTAAAACTGTTATTTAATATTTTATGGTTACTGATTTATACGCATGACGAGTATTTTCATCATCAATATATAAAAGTTTTCCACCTTCCAATTTACGTTGACAATTGTACTCCTCAATCACAATTAATTGGTCAACTAGAGGAATTTTCTTTAAAAGCTATGAACTTGAAAGTTGAAAAGGTGTTCCAAATTAAAAGTACTTGACATATTTGCTCAAAATTCAAAAAGCATGTAAAATGTATTAACCTTGGATAAAAGACTGCTTTAATAGTAAAAAAGGGTTTATTGGACACGCAACACTGAATATCACAAAAATACTTTGATTTAAAAAATTATGACGAATAAATAATGGAGGGAATTTTAGAAAATAATTTTATTCGGATATAGAAAATAATAGATTTGGATTTTTACAAATAATGTTTACAAATATATTTTATTTATTATTAAATATGAACTGGCAATTCGTTATTTTGATCTTAAAAATACACTCTCAAAAGAAATGCATTAATTATATAAATTTTACATGGTCAATTTAACGGAATCTCGTAATTCTCGTAAGATATGAAATGCATTACAAAAATCAATTTATTATATAATGAATTAAAACTAAGTCACATAAAGTAGCAAGAAACCAACGTGTGTGTTCTAAAAATCAATATTTTTGGCAAGGGTTAACGGGAAGGATAGTAGAGATATGTACTGTACATGAGAGTAATGCTGAAGGCAATGTGCGCACAAAGAATATTATATATTAAAATAGCGGAGACACATTTTTACACAACAAAAATCATTTATATATAAGCCCTATTTATGTAAAAATGATATTAAAACCGCTTTGTTATCTTGTTATTGATTTTACGATGGAGCCTAGGCAATCTCGGAGTCTGAAGTATTGCGAAACTATGTACGATACGAACTTTGTGTACAAGAATGTATATATATATATATATATATATATATATATATATTTATATATATTATATATATATATATATATATATATATACAAGAATGGAAGGCTTGGCATCAAATAAAACGGAAAATATTTCATCAAATAATTTTGTCATCGTCAGTGGGTGTATGAACAAATTTTGCGATAAAGCATAAAATATATTCTTAATAATAAATATAACTCTTAATAAATAACTTAATAAATAATATAATTTGCGAATTAATTGGTAATATTTCAATTAAAAGAATTTTAGAGAATACAGACTAATATTCGACGAATTCGAGACAAAGTCAGAGTTTTATTTCGTCGAATGTGATTAAAATATATGCTTCTTTTTGTATATAGTTTTGATATTTTTTTCAAAGTAGTTGAAACATTTTATAAACAGAGTACACATTTAACAATACATAGTTAGTCGAAAATATAATTAAAAAAAATTAACATTGTCAAAATACAAACAATTTACAAATAGATTGCGGGCGCTAAGGTTTACTTATTATTAGAATTTTATTGCCTAAATCATATTGAATTAATTTTAAGTTAATTTATGCTTACTGTAATTTTGTAACAGTGCTTTTATATATTTTATATTTTAAAGTTTTTGGAATTCTAAGACATATCAAGAGTCAAAACGTATAAATAAATGTCTCTAATTTTTTTTTCGATTTGATGTACTGGCCGTTAATTATATATGTATATATATATATATATATATATATATATATATATATTTATCGCCCGTTTTATATGAAAGATAGGTTCCAAAAAATCGCGTAACTCGAAAAATTCACTCTTGTATGGAAAAACCGTGCTAAATGAAAATCACTATAACCAAACGCTCTTTTTGTAGTTTTTAACATGATGGATAACAAACACATTGAACGGAAAATAAATATTATTATATTTAATATCAAACACATTTAATTAGTTAGAAGAATATTGAGTTTTCGATTTCACGGTTCTTATTGTAGCTTCATTCATAATAAAAATTAGCAACGTCTATTTTTCATTCATTATTACCAAGACAGTTCAAAATTTCAATTTTGGATTATTTCTTACTGTAAGATATATCCTTTATTTTACTCTCTAGTTTTTTAATTTTATTTTTTCATTTTTGTTATTGTCGAACTATACTTTTTTTATAAATTATAGATTTTGTACAAAATTATTCTATTATTTGCTTGTCTCGAATAAATTTACGCTATCAATTGTATATAAACACTAATTTAAAACGAAGTTTAAAAACAATGATGTTGTTTGTTTCGGAATTATGGCAAACGAACTAGCTTTACACACATAAAATTTAGTTTTGATCATAAAACGGGAGTTCCCATCTTATCTAAATATTTCCATCATAGACATATACCACTAAGAATTCGTAACTGTAACATGCGTTTTGTAGTATTGTATTTTGATAGTAAAACAATGCAAATTTTATTGTAGATATAATAAAATTATAGTTTAGTGTTTATAATTTCGTGTAAATGCAAAATTAATAAATCTTGTTAAAAAAATTATCAGAAACAAACGAAAGATCATTTTGGAATCGAAGGTGATGAAGGTTCAACTATGGTGGAAGATAGTGTTTCTCCATTCCGGTGAGTCATTTATGATTATTTGGTATTAAATTTTATTGATAATAAAAATAGAATAAACTATCATTAATTAAATGATTTTTTCATTAACAGAGCGACTGTTATACAACATGAGCTAAGCAAAACCGGCAAAGTAAATACTGAATCGCTAGCGAAACCTGCAATTATGAGAGCTGGCGGCGATGGTGAGTGATTAATAATTAATAATCAGATAGCAATTTAATTCATTTTATGCGAAACTTGTACATAATGCAGATATTATTACGCGCCTGTATATAAAAGATTACTGTATTAGCATTCTTTTGTAAAAAAAAATGTTATTATTTATAGTTACCTGTAGTAGTAAAAATTAGTTAAAAATGAAAATATTTCGTTTAACTGGTGATACAAATTTTGTCAAAAATGCATGATGTATAATAAATTTTTGGCATGTTCATTTCGGAACTATAAAATTTTAATTACTTCAAGAATCAAAGCCGTGCTATTCTGAAACTGCTTATTATAATATTTTTTTATTTAGTTATTTTGTCTATCTATTAGTGTGCATCATTTTGCGGCTAAACTCATGAAACGTGAAATTTTGAAATAGAAATAGAATTCTTTAATTTAACATGTTGAATGTAAATTAGTGGCCTACACTTTATTTTATTTATTTTACTAGCTGCTAGACATGCATTTGTTTCTAAATATATCGATTTCAACAAAAAATATTAATTATAAATACGATATTTTATGATTTAAACTCGGCAGTGATTAAGCTTACTATAGTTTGAATGAATTTTCCAAATTATATCAATCTTTTAAACAACAGTATGACACTGAAAAAACGTGTGTGTATGTTATGTGCTTATCAATTTGCTTATTGTCTTAGTTTTTTTATAGAAAATTTTATTAGATATTTTGAAAATATTTGCATTATTATAAAGTGTATCATTCAATTTCTATGTAATTTGTGATTGATCTGGTCTATTTTTGGATATTCTTTATTTGGTTTTTCTGTTATTTTTAATTATTATTTGCTAGGCTCTCGTCCATATGCCCATGGACATGTCGGTGGATCTCAATTAGCTACAGTCTCAGGCCAAATTAATATTGGGCACACTCCTCCTTTGGTATGTAGTAATATATTTATTTATATAATATTCTTCTAACAATAATTTTGTATATAACATTTCACAAATGTATTTTGTATTTTGTACATTCGTACAGATTTCAGTTCTTGCTTTGATTCGCTTCTCTTGTGATAATTCATACGTTTTGTATATATGTAACATATGAAATGTAGACTTGTAAATAATTACTAGTACGATCACATAAAAGATATTTTGATTTTTGGAAGGATGAGGATGTTGACTATTGCAAATATTTGGTCGTATTTTTTTTTAAATAATATCATTTGATACCATGCAACTACTATAATATGTACTTTAACAATTTTAACATACATTTTCATTTCTTACACGCTACCTTCTCGTGGGTGACAATCACAGGCGTAGGTAAAAGTTTTTATTAACAACTGCATATGCTATAATTAGTTTTCGACGAATAACATATATAATATATAATACGCTTATATAATATATAACACGCTTATATTGAATATATTAGATAATATATAATATATTATAGCATATGCAAATTATTTTAAATTAGTCATATTAACTAAATTTATAATAAATCATATATACATTTTTTTTTAATTTTATATAAAATTATTATTCTTATCGTAGGTGAAACAATCTAAGGTTACATCAGTATTAACAGAACCGCAACAAGCGTTATTATCCGATATCAATGCTGGCCAAGACATTATTTCTAATGCAAGGAGAGATTTGGAAACCAAGGTAACATACATATTTTTTTTTAAATAATACGAAAACTAAAACTGTGTCACTTTGTAATTACTATTTATTTGTTTGATATTATAAATGAATCATTTTCAGGCCCAGATACCAGAGTTGGGTTCAGATCCTGCCAGTGTCAAATGGCGAGAGAACAGCATCGAAAGTTCAAAACAAAGTGTTACTCATCGTATTGCTGCAATGAGCGCGGCAACTGCTCAAGTCGTTACTTTAACGTCCGGCGGCGAAAATGTAGACCACAAATCAGTTGGAAATGCCGTTTCCACTATCGCTAAGAATCTTCCAGAAATGACTAAAGGTATAGAAAAATAATGCAAAAAATTATTCAGAAAATAACTGCCAAACGCATAATTTTGTATTAAGTTTTAGATAATTAAAACGTAACATGCCGGTTTGCATTAAGTTTTTGATATGTTACAACATTATTTTACCACATTCCAGATGTTCGCTTAATCGCTGCTCTCATCGATGACAATACGTCTGGAGAGAAATTATTAGAGGCAGCAAGAAGTTTATGCAGCGCATTCAGTGATTTGCTGAAAGCCGCTGAACCAGAAAATAAAGAACCCACCCAACTTATCAATGCAGCCAGCAAAGTTGGAGAAGCCAGCCACCAAGTCAGTAAAAATATCAATTTGAATTTCATTGATTTTCTAATATGTATTTTCTTTGTTTTTATTTATCTATATATTTTTTTAGGTATTGTCTACCATTGGAGAAGAATCAGATGAGAGCAGAGAAGTTCAAGAAATGCTACTCGCTCTTGCTAAAGCAGTTGCTAACGCTACTGCTGCGCTCGTGCTTAAAGCCAAAAACATAGCTGAGACTTGTGAAGATCCAGCTTCAAAAAATAAAGGTAAGCATTAACGAAATTTATTTATCAAATATAAAATTATTAGCAACTGGTTTTGTTAAAGTTGTTTTGCTTCAATTCTAGTTATTGATTCGGCAACACAATGTGCACTGGCCACTAGTCAATTGGTGGCTTGCGCAAAAGTTGTAGCGCCATCCCTTCAAAGTCCTGCATGTCGCGAACAATTGGAAACTGCCGCTAGGGAAGTTATGCAAGCCGTACAATCCGTAATCCAGGTATGTATATATTTAAAATTGTATATAAATAAGTTTGTTTCATAAAAATAATGAATCATTATTAACATTTATTAACAATTTCTAATATGATTTAATTGTTTTAAAGGTTTGCAATGAAGCTACTCACCATCAAAGCAAATTGAATGATTTGAATGAAGCTGCATCTGATGTTTCCAGAACGTTACGGGCATTGTTGGATCATATCAAGAGCAGTAAGTTGATTTACTTTATTTTCTTGAATGTCTAAACAAATGCTATACTTTAAATCATATAATTTTAGTCAATAACGAATATGCAACAGAGACAGTTGAAGAAAGTCATATTGAAAATGTTTATGTTGCAACGGACTTATTAATCGGAGCAACTGATCCAACTGAAATGGTGAAACAGGCTCGCGTGCTAGGACAAGCAACAGCTAATTTGATACAGTCTATAAAGGTTGAAGCAGAAAAACAACCTGATTCTGAACTTCAACATAAACTACTTGCGGCGGCTAAACAGCTTGCCGATGCCACTGCCAAAATGGTAGAAGCAGCAAGGTACATATTGAGAATAATTAATTACCAATTGAAATAGATGCTAATACATGCATGTTACAGATTATGCGCTAGCAGCCCTAATGAACCCACACACCAAGAAGCACTTCGGGTGGCTGCAGAAGAATTGCGTGACATAACTGCAAGTGCACCAATATTGCGTAAGAAGCTTATAGGACGCTTAGAGGTGAATATCACATTGCTTCTTTCAAAATATTTTATAAGACGATTTTAATATTGTAAATTTTGTAGCAATGTGCTAAACGCGCTGCGTCGGCTGCATCACAATGCATATCGGCTGCGCAAAATGCGACCATGCACAGTTCGGATATTCAAGTTCGTGAAACTTTACTGGAGGTAAATTAATGCCATTTTCAATTGACAATAATAAAAATGAAAAATTATGATAATTTTTTTTTAAGGATTGTAAAACAACATCATCCCTAATTCCCAAGCTAGTATCCAGTGTTAAATCAAGTATGAATTATCCAGATGATCCTAATGCGCAAATCGGTTTAATTAATTCAGCGCAAATATTCTTGGAGGTATGTCTAACATCATGAATTCTATATGGCTTAACTAAATTAACTATTTTACTGTATATGGCAATAGTGCAAAATGTACATGTTCACACTTTTTGTGGCGCAAAACCAATTAGTTATTTTTATTTTTAGCCAGCTGAACAAACTTGCGATTCTTGCCGATCTCTGCTTCCGACTGTAACCAGTCAGTCTTCTAGCGCAGAATTGTCCAGATCTTGCCAAGTACTTTCGACAGCCTTAAACGATTTAAGTATAGCATCAGGAAGAGCGCGCGAAGCATGCGCAGGCTTCGAAATGGGAGCTGCTTTGGAAAGCGTTAGTCTTTTAAGACAAACGCTTCACGAGTCTAGAGTAGCCGCAGAACGGGGATCGCTGGTGCCATTACCAGGAGAAACGGTTAGCTCAAATATTTTACATGTATAAAATTAAAAAAGAAAAGGGATATATAAATCTCCTTATTTAAATTTCTAATAAGCAAATATAGAATAATAAAATGATGATTGTGAATGCTCTCGAATGGACTCATGATAAAATTAAAATATATCTTATTACAATTTTGCCTAAAGTATGTTGTTAAATCATATCGCCGTTCAGGCACAAGCCGCCTTCGTCACCGTTCATATTTTTGATGGAAACAATCAGTTAGAATCAGTTCACGTGCAAGGATCGCATTGTTTTACTGAGACTAGCTTAGAGAAAAAGTTAAAATTACAATCTGTTAAAAAAGAGTCTTTAACAAGCATTGGAAACGTCCTATTTAATTTAAATAATTTTAGCGATTTTTTAAGTACGGCAAAGCGAGCTTCACGATTTCTTTGTATAATTGATCCGTCTGTGGTACAAAATCTTATTTTTAGAAGACTAATGCGACTTTTGCGTATCCGACTGAGTTAAAGTTCTTAAAATCTGCCTTTTTTTTCTGTCAAGCCTAATCAAAATAATAAAGGGTAAACCTCGTAGTACACAACGAAAAAGCATGCTACTTATTATAATTTCATTACAAAGATTAATAAATTTAAAGTATTTATTAATTTTTCTTAAGAAGTAATGCATACTAAACGAATTAAATGATATTTTTTCGTCATTACTAAGTTCTGTTCGCCATGAACGTTTCTTTTTTAGTAAGCCTCAGCTTCTCTGACTATTTTTGTGTACAATCTTCAAATTCATTCTCTAACTTTTGCAAAAATTTACTACTTTAAGTTTTAGTGAAAATATAGGTTTAGTGAAAAAATATATTAAACCTTCAGGTAAACTTAGGCCTTTTTTCAGAAAATTTACGCGCTCGAATGTAAAATGGGTATCTTTGGCAGTAGTTTCATAAGATGTTGAGTCATTTTGTACATGATTTCACTAATTTTAAATTAGATGAAGTTTGCTATAAATAGGTTTTATTATATTTGTTATTTTATTCAGGAGTTTTGCTCAATTCTCGCATCATATGAAACCATTTTACATAAGTACCGTGTTATAATGGAGATATCTTTAATTCCCGATCTGTGTTTTAGATATATCGTGTTAACGTGGGTTATCAGTATTTAGTTTATTTGCCTTTCGGATTCTAAGAAATGTTAATGGATGATATCTATAAAATTTTCAGGTTGAATCTACCTCTTTACAATTGGCTTCTACAAGTAAATCAGTAAGCATGAATATGGCCCATTTGATTTCGGCTGTTAACCAGAACAACCGCTATTATGCCGGTAACGCGGCGAGAGACGCTGCTTCTTCTTTGAATGATTTCAATAATGCTGTTCGAGGTGTAGCTGCTACCACGAATAATACAAAGTAATACAATAATTTACAATAAAAAATATTTAAGTTTTTTGTATTAAAATAATTAATAATAATAAAAATGTATATATTTGCAGTGTAATCGATTGTGCTGAGGAAGTCATTACCAATGCGATGAGAGTAATTGAAGAAGCTTATAGATCCCTTCAAGGAGAAAGTGAACAACAACATGTTATGAATGCAGCTAGTAATTTGAATCAGGTACTTTATTTCTTCAACTTTTATGCATATTATTATTATTGTTACTAGTTATACCATAATTTATTATTGTATTACAGGCTCTTTCAAGAACTGTTGATTGTCTACCTGGACAAAAGGATGTAGACAAAGCAATAAATACTATAAACTCAGTAACTGAAGTATTATCTCTCAATGAATTTCCTTCAACTAATAAGTCATACAAGTTAGTATTTTTACAAGGATTCTACAAAAATATTTCTTTATTACATTTGATAAAGTATTGTCTTTCTACAGTGAACTGCAACACGAACTCACATCAGCCGCTGAAACATTGCATGCTGCATCTGGTGAAATTGTGAATTCGGCAAAGAGTCCAGCACGTTTGGCACAGACTAGTCATAGCTTTAGCCAGGCCTACAAAGAACTCTTATTGGTATCTCTAGAATTGGCTGGACTTAATACTGATGAAACAGCTAGAGGCCAGGTAAAACAAAACTTTTATGGTTTTAATTTAAGGTGTTGTATTCCTATAATTTTTTAATGTATTTATTTTGTGAAAATCGTAGGTCGTTATCTCTCTGCAAGGAGTATCAACATCATCTTGTACTTTGCTAACGTCCGCTAAGCACGTAGCAGCAGATCCAACACAGCCTAATGCTAAAAATCAACTCACAGCTGCTGCTAGAGCTGTTACAGACAGCATTAACTATTTGGTAAATATCTGAAGCTTAAAAATTATCGTACAATTACTAAATTATACAGTACATATGTTGAAACAAATCGTTAGTATTTGCCTATGTATTTTTTGTTATTATTTTATTATATATTTATTCTTATTTGATTTATAGGTTGATGTATGCACATCAGCTTCCCCAGCACAGAAAGAATGTGATAATGCAATTCGGAAGATAGAATCCCTGCGCCCGTTGTTGGACAGACCAAACGAGCCACTATCAGATTTAAGTTACTTTGAATGTTTGGATGTTGTGAAAGAGAAGTCTAAAAAATTAGGTTAGGATAATTATATGTTTTGGCTGTTATTTCTTTCTTCATCATTTAATTTTAAATTTTTAATTCTAGGTGATGGAATGTCTGGAATTGCCAATCATGCTAAATTAAATCAACATGAAGAGTTTGCGCAATCAGTACGTGAAGTTAATGATTCAATTTATGGCTTGATTGAAGCTTCTGCACAAGCTGCTTATCTCGTAAGTGTTTTCTAGTGGTCATAGAATCTTGAATTGAATATATTATGTTAGTGTTAACAATTTCAATAATTGTAATAATAATAAATATGTTTATGTAAAATGGTATATGTTGAAACTTTGTGATGCTTATTTTCAATTTAATTTTATTATTTTAGGTAGGCGTATCTGATCCAACCAGCGTTGTCGGTCGTCCAGGATTGGTTGACCAAGCCCAATTTGCGCGTGCAGCGCAGGCGATTCGAACTGGCTGCGATGTTTTGGTTAACCCTACTTCAACCCAACCACAAGTGTTACAAGCTGCTACTCTCATTGCAAAACATACATCAGCTTTGTGCAATGCATGCAGAATTGCCAGTAACAACACTCCTAACCACGTGGCTAAGAGGCAATTTGTACAATCTGCTAAAGACGTCGCGAATAGCACTGCCGCATTGGTAAAGGTTTGTGTTTGACAAAAGTTGGTACCAAATAGTTTTCTTGTATGTATCGTAACACAGCTAAACTGTTTATTTTATTTAACTGGCAAATAGTCAGTTTTTAGCTATGCTCGAATTATGAATTGACTGAAATTTATATAAACTAAAATTACAGTTATTCTTTCTATATGAGCATGCTTATACTTTGTTGATTCCTACCTATGTAGTTATCTTTTTCCTTGTCAGTTACTACTACTAACTAACTTATTTAATTTTATTTAGTTGATTATATACATGCAAGAAAACACATATACAATGTAATCTTAATTTGCTGATCATGGATATTTTAACAGGGAATTAAAGCACTAGATGCAGATTATTCTGCTGAAAGTAGAGAATCTTGTGTTCAGGCAACGAAACCTTTATTAGATGCTGTTTCATCGCTTTGTGAATTCTCAAATAATCCACAATTCGTATCTATACCAACAAGAATATCAGCCCAGGTGAATATAAAAAAGAAAAATTAGAATGCAATTTAGAAATAAATTCAATCTATTAATTTCAATTTGCTTTCAGGGTCGCAAAGCTCAAGAGCCCATTCTAACTAGTGGTCATAGTACTTTGAATGCTTCTGTGAATATGATAGTAGCTGCAAAATCTTTGTCCCTTAATCCAAGAGACCCACCTGCATGGCAACAATTAGCAAGTAACAGCAAAGATGTTAGTGATTCAATCAAAAGTCTTATCACTAATATAAGGTTAGTTAATGCTTCTGTAATTACTATTATTATCATTTTTTTAAATAATTTTGTGCTTATTTGTCCAATTAAAAAAAGGTTAATAGGAACAACAATTTAGTCAGGGTGATATTTAATTTTTTTTTTTTACTCTTGGTCCATTAAAATTTGGGGTATTATTTCTCTAATAGGTAGGGCTATTTTATTAAAAATAAGATGTTTTGGAGTAAAATCTTAACTTTATTTGTTCTGTTCTTAATAACAATAGTTACCCTTTACATTTTAACAACATCATTAATAATGAAGTGTTTACAAAATAATATTAATAATTTTTTTTTTCACCTTTCAACAATTATTTTGTCAATTCAAATGTTTCTTCCCTTAATAAATATAAAGGAATTATTTGCTTAAGCAATTTTTCTTTTTTTTATGAAAGGTATTTTTGTCAGAAAGTTCTCTGATTAATATTAGTTAGTTAAATAAAGAATGTTTTTCTTTCAATCACATTTCAAATTGACAAATGGTCTGCAAATTATTCCAAACATGTTTCAACATCAAAAAAATAATCAAGATATTATCATTATAAATTTGAGACTTGAAGATGATAAATATATTATACAATTATCAATTTATATTTCCAGAGAGAAGGCTCCTGGTCAAACACAGTGCGACACAGTCATCCAGCAATTGAATGACTGTGTGCGTCATTTAGATCAAACCAGTATTAATGTTGTATCAACAGTAACTCCGAGCCAAGAAAACACCTTGCAAGGTATGGTATAATATAAAATATATATAAATATTCTCCATTTAAGTTCTTCAAATTTTACATTGTTATTTTATATTTAGGTTTCCTCAGCCAGATGAGCAGTACATCAAATGAGCTAACAGACAGATTGCCTCCACTACAAACAGCTGCTAAAAGTGAAGCTGAAAATTTGGGACATACGATATTACAAATGTCTCGTTATGTCGAAGCTCTTGTCAAGTATGCTGTTGGGGCTGCAACTCATTTTGTGCATTCGTCTCAAAGATTACAGCTTTTGGAATATACTAAAAGTGTTACCGAAAATGCTATTCAAGTAGCTAATCTTGCTAAACTGACTGGAGGAAATCCCAGGGTAATTATTATATAAATTACAAAATTAGTAGTAACGTTTTGTAGCAAACATTGTAAAATAATTTAACTATTGTTTATAAAAATATTATAATTTATCTTAATAGAATAATCTTAAAATTATAATTATGAAATTCATACGAATAATAATTTTGTACTCCTTTAAATTTAATTATATTAAATATTTTATAACTGAAACTGTATTGTTTTACAGGCTACACAATATCATGGAGAACTGGATGAAGCTATTGATTCAATGAGAGAGTCAATTACTGAATTAATTACTTCTCTTGATGATTTATCAACACAAAATGGTAAACATTTTACATTTTGTATACTGTTACTATTATATTTCTCCCACTAAATACATTTGACAACTCTGAATTCTAATTTATTACAGGTTTGGTAAATGGCTTGCTAGAAAGTATTAACCGAGCCATGTCTCGAGTAAGTGATAGAAGATCATCTTTGCTTGTTACTTCTTCATCAGACACTTTTGTTGATTATCAAACAAGAATGGTACATGAAGCTAAAGAAATTGCCAGAATTGCTAATGAGATGGTAATTTATAATTGTCATGAATCATAATTTGTATTTTTAATTTAAAATATATGATTGTTTATATACATTTGTAGAGTTCAAAAGCTGTTGGTGAGCCTGCTGCTTTGCCTACTTTATCTGCAAATCTTACCCACCACTACACGCAGTTGGCAGATGATTCATTTGGAGCAGTATTAAACACAAATCTTTCAGATGTTGGAATGAAGTAAGTAAATACTATTCTTATAAACCGAACATCTTTATCAGAATATTGGTATTTTGATTGCATTACTTTTATTTAAAAAATGGTTTATTCAACTTTTGTGAAATTTTTATTAACTTGCCATAGAGTAAGTTATAGCAATGGTAAAAAACGAAAATGAACATTTTTGTGTACCTTTACATTTCACGTGATTTAAAAAACATTCAATTCCTATCGACTTGGAGATGTTCTGATTTTTTTATCCGGGACAAAAAGTGCAAAAAATGGCTATTCCATTTTTGAGAGAACAGAGCATCCGATTTGAAGGAATCGAAAAACATTTCACTTGTTTTGATAGAATGAAGAATTGTTTAAATTTTCAAAAAATATTTTGTAACAAAAAATACGAAATTTGCAAATAATTCTCAAAAAAAAAAAATAGTTAGAAGTTAGTGAGATTGTGTATTTGAAATAAAACTGTTTGCTTGGTTTTTTTTACTTACATTTTTTTCAAATTTTAGAATCAGAAGCACAGTTCAAGAACTTGGACGATCATGTTCTCAATTAGTTGAATCTAGTGGGGCATACCAAATGCAACAAGGCGATAGTGCTTCTTCTACAATTTCAATGCACAGCAGATCTGTTAACGATAAAGTAGCTAAAGTTTTAGCAGCATTACAATCATGTTCAAAGGGAACACAGGCTTGCATAAATGCTGCTAGTACTGTTTCTGGTATCATTGGAGATATTGACACTACAATTATGTTTGCAACAGCAGGTCAATTTTATTTTATTTTGTATAGAAATATTGAAGTTAGTTAAATGTTTATAATGTACAGATTATAATAAATAAATATTTTATTCATCAGGCACTTTGCACTCTGAGAGGGATAATGCATCTTTCTCTGAGCACAGGGAGCATATTCTGAAAACAGCCAAAGCTTTAGTAGAAGACACAAAAACACTTGTTGCCGGTGCTGCAGGTTCTCAAGATCAATTGGCAGCAGCAGCCCAAAATGCTGTTTCAACAATTGGTAAGGATCAAGGAACCCATACACATACTTTTACCTATGTGAATCATCAGAAATATTCTTTCATTAAATCTTTTCGAAGACGTAAGACCTTTTTGAGGAAGTTTTTTATCTAAAACAAGAATTTGAAAATTTTAGTGTTATTTAATTCTAACATGTAATATAGCATTATCTTAATTTTATTATTTATTGAGAGTGAAATTTGTTTATAATGATAATTATTTTATTTTTAGTCCAATTGACTGGAGTTGTGAAATTAGGAGCAGAAAGTTTGGGTTCAAATAATCCTGATTCACAAGTGATGCTAATGAATGCTGTTAAAGATGTTGCTTCTGCTCTCGGTGAACTTATTCAGGCCACCAAAGCAGCATCTGGAAAACCTATTGATGACCCTTCAATGGGACAATTGAAAGGCAGTGCTAGGGTAATTTATTTTTGTAACTGTTGTAAACTCTATATAGAGAATGTATATTTTATATTAAAATGTTTTGAATTGTGTATTAATAAAGATTATTATTTTATAGGTAATGGTAACAAATGTAACATCATTGTTAAAAACCGTTAAAGCTGTTGAGGATAAACACACAAGAGGCACACGTGCTTTGGAATCTACAATTGAAGCTATCAGTCAAGAAATTAATGTAAGTAACCTTATAATAAGATATAAAATGTATTACATTAGGCACATATTTGCCAAATTTATTTTTTTAATTTTATTTTGCAGAGTTTACAAATAGATGGTGCAAAAGGTAAAGGTACACCAGAGGAACTAGTTAGAGCTACTAAATTAGTTACCCAAGCTACATCTAAAGCAATTGCTGCTGGAAACTCTGGATCTCAAGAAGATATTATAATTGCTGCTAATCAAGGGCGTAGAGCAATTTCTGATTTACTTGTTGTGTGCAAGGTATATTGACCATATATAATTGTTACTTAATTTAATTGCTAGAGAATATAATTAAATTTAAAATTTAATTAAAAACAAAAGTTAGTTAAATAAAAAAATAATTAAATATAATTATAAAATTAAAAAGCTCCTAACCAATTATTTCAAGTAATATATACACACACATATATATATATATATATATATATATATATATATATATATATACAAAGTGTGATATATTTATATGTATCGTTTTTTTTTTAATTTAGAATACTGCATACTCCTGCACGGAAACAATCGAATTGCGCGAACAAACTTTGGAAGCTGGTAATAAGGTTGCAACCCACTATCAAAGACTGCTTCAAGCAGTTTTGGCAGGAGCTGAAGGAAAAGAAAATTTGCCACATTTATCAAGACAAGTAGCTCAAAGTGTTTCTGAACTGGTTTCTCTGGCCGAAACCCTTAAAGGTACTTCTATTGATTTTTTATTTATTAATATTGTATTTACTTGTGTATCTATATCTACATACATATGCATTACATCCCTTGTAATCAAATATAATCTTTTTTCAGGGCGTGATTGGGTAGATCCTGAGGATCCAACAGTTATTGCGGAAAATGAGCTTCTAACAGCTGCATCATCTATAGAAGCTGCTGCACGAAAACTTGCCAGTTTGCGACCAAGAAGATCTGTAAAGGTAATTAATATGGATATATTTTTAGATATTATTTAATATATAAATTTTACTTGTCATACATGTTATCTCATGTCTTTGGCGTTAAGATATGTTTGATATTCTTGGTTGTATTTTTGTAATTTCACCCAGGAATCAAACATATTATTACTGCTGAGGTACCCTACACCATGGTACGTTATATCATATGAAATTGAATAGTTTTAATCAATTACTCATATTAATGTACAATTGTTATTTCCTTCGTTGATATTTATTTTGTGATATAATTTTTAGGAAACCGATGAAAATTTGAACTTTGATGAAATGATTTTGGAAGCAGCAAAATCCATTACTGCAGCTACTTCAGCTTTGGTTAAAGCCGCAAGTGATTCACAACGAGAACTTATTGATCAGGTAATATATAAATCTTAAATTTGATTAGTTGATTTAATATTGTTATACAATAAACTTTTTCAACAGATGAGCAACCGCTTTATGCGGCCTGCCAAGCATTTCTAAAGTAGAATTTCATTTATTTTATCAAATTTCTTTTATAATTATAATGTACTTTTTTCTTGTTGCATTAATTTATGAAATATCTACTTTTTTTTAAATAGACATGAAAACTTTTAACTTCACTTCTAAATAGAAACACTAACGGAACATTTTTCTTTCAATTTTTCACATAAATTGTCTTTTTGATTTGCACATTTGTCAATATAGTAACTATATTATTAATAATTCTACTGTATCAGTTATAATAGTATTTTAATGTTTTTTTTATCACTTAGGGCAAAGTTGCCAGGCGTCTACATAAAACTTCAGACGATGGCCAATGGTCAGAAGGTTTGGTTTCTGCTGCGAGACTTGTGGTGGCAGCAACACAAAAATTAGTAGATTCAGCACAAGCTCTTGTGCAAGGACATGGTTCTGAAGAAATGCTTATTTCATCTGCAAAACAAGTTGCTAGTTCCACTGCCCAACTTTTAGTTGCTAGTCAGGTACAGCTTTTAGTTAGTAACAGATAGTTTAAATTTACAATCTTAAAATTTTATGAAATGTCAATATATTATAATTATTTGATAGATAATATTAATGAAAATATATTTTATTTTAGGTCAAAGCCGATCCTGATTCACCCAGTTTTACAAGACTACAAGCAGCTGGAAATGCAGTCATTAGAAGCACGGATAATCTTGTGAAATCAGCTCAACAAGCTATTTCTGGAGAAGATGAGCATTCACTTGTTCTTAACACAAGAATGGTTGGTGGCATTACACAGGAAATAAATGCCAGGTGATTAAAAAAAAAAAAAAATGGGTGATATAATTTAGTCTTGAAATTGTTCCATTTATACCTTTAAATATAGTTAGTATGCAGGGCTATTGTTGAGAGTCAGTTAAATAGGTCAAGTCAAATTGATTAATAATCCTGAAATTTTAGGGTTACTCTACTATCAAACATTTTTATTTGTAGATTGAATTACTTTACTTGAAAACAATATAATCATTTGTAAAAATTTATTCTAGATCTGAAGTATTCCGAATTGAAAAGCAATTGGAAGAGGCTAGAAATAGGTTAGCAGCCATTCACCAAGCCAAGTATCGTCTGCGTAAAACAGATGAAGGCGATCAAGAATATTACAGTGACCAAAATGATACCATGAATCAAAGTAGCCATATTGTGCATTTAAATAATAATAACCAAAGTAATAAAGGATTGAACTCCTCGTATTTGGATAAATCTCAAACCCACACAAATAGTAGAACTTTCAATACATACAACAATGTAAGTCCTGTGAGCTTTATTAATAAAAATTTATCTACATCGGACAGTAGCTATGATGCAGTTAAAAATGGCTCAGCACATAATACAGGGAGCAACGGTCAAAATTATAAGGGATTTACAACTTTGTGAGTAAAAAACAAACTAACATATAATGAAAATAATTAAAATACTTATTTGTTAATATAATGATTCATAATTTGTGATTTTTTGCCAAATGATTTTTTTATAAAGCATTTGGATATTATTTCTCTTTCTAGTGTATTATATTAATATTTATATGATTTATCTCAATTTTATTAATATCAATTATTATTATTATGATAAAATATCAACTCTTATTTCTTGCTCTGACCAAACTTTTAAATTTATTTATAATTTCAGGTATGAAACCCACAGATATAACACTGATTCAATCCTTTATTATGCACTCCGGAGCAATTCTCAAAATTTAGTACAAACCCAAATGAACTCATTGTCCAGACAGATCACTGAGAAAGAAACTATAAAAACTTCTGCAGAGATTCGAACGCACAGTCATACTTATAAACTCGAGTAAAGAATATAATTACAAAATATATATTGTTTCATAAATAAGCATGTACAGTCACAAATTATATATATACATACTATTTTACAAGCTATTTTATAGTTTTCTAATAATAAATTTAGTCAAGCTTATATAATGTGCCTTCTAATGTGTGACTTGTACAGATTTGTTAATAATATAAAATATTTAGTGCCTACTTATTTAATATACACACCCGCATTATTCATAATATATAGATATTTATATAAGCAACACTTATTATATATAATGAAAGTTATAATTTATTGTAAAGTTATATTTTATATAAAACTATACAGATATTATCATTACATGATTTAATTCGATTTATGTTAATTTATTGCAATTTTGTGAGCTTTTACTTAATAACTTAACTGTTATGTCAAAATTTAATAAATTGACTTTCTTTATATGCTCTGTTTTATTTAAATCAAAATATAAAATATAATTTTGTATTGTAGTGTATATCACGATGAATAACATGATCTTCCAGGGCCTATTGTCTCAGAACAAAGCCCGTGTTCACACTGTGCAGGTTAGGGGTCGGGAACCAGGCGCACATTTAGCGCTAGTAAGCCAAAAATAAAATATTTTTGTGTTGTGATGTTTAATATTGTTGTAAAGATTTCTTCAAGAATCGCTCTCAAGTGCATAGCTTTTGGACAATATGAATTAAACAGGATATGAATTCTCAGATGATTGACAGATCCATGTATTCATTTGAATGCATTCATTCATACACAGCGTTATCAGGCCTATCACGCCTGCACGCCTGATTGGTATTATTAAAATATATATATAGATAGATAGATAGATAGATACTTTATCAAATTCAAACATTTACAATTTAAGTCAATACAATTATACTATAATATAACTAAACTAATATCAGTTATGTTATGAACTCTAAGATTAACCTAATGACAATTAATATTTATCTTGGGTTAAAAAA